TGAGGTTCTGCTAATAGATTTTTGCAAACCAAATTCCTCTGGATATACAGGTGACTAGTATGACTGTTTTATAATATCCTCCTAAGATTAGTAATTATACAGATCAGAGTTATGCCGATTGTTAAGAGTAATGCAACATGATTTTTCAACAACACCCAAATATCTACATTAACAATGTGCAACTATTGTGGCTAAAAAACATTTCCCAATATCCTTTGCCATGACTTTATGATTGCAACCAGCTGTGTTTTCTACTGCACCCACTAGCTAACACGGAGCATAGAGCTTCTGTATTGAAAGGGCAGCAATAATACACAATTCCGGCGCAGGAGCAAAGTTTAGCCTTGCTGAGTGTATATTGAATGGCATTCTGGACATTTCTAAAGATATTCATAGCTACCATAAAAGGTAGAGATTGACTTAGTGCACCTCCTTGTGTACTGCATTGTACTAGGAATGCGCACGCAAGCCAGACTTCTGCGCGCACGGCGGAAGCTGGACTTGAACTTACACTTCCTTTTGGTGACTAATTGACATTCCTAAGCGTGACTAATTGACGACACGTACGTACGCATATCGCGTAGTTGCCTCGCGCGCTCGGCAATAATGGAGAGTGTATTGAGAACACTCACTCATGTAGCGCCTAGAATGTTCAGGAAATCTAATGTTGCATACCTACCAACCTGCAGATGAACCTTTGCTTGAGAAATGTGCTTGATTTGTGTCATGATGATGTAACGTAATAACTTCCCTCCAATGGTGTGGGTCTTATGATGCAATTAGGACATGTATGTAGGACATGTAGCACCAAGAATATTCAGGAAATCCAATACCGAATCATCCTAAATTCTTTGTCCTGCTGGAACTTTCCACTACATACAGATACTGGATACTGTTGTGCACTCAGTTGTGGAACGAAATGGTGCTCTTGTGCAGCACGAAGAGTTGAACACTCAACATAGTGGGCTCTCATCAGCTCTGTCGTACAAGAATCAATCAATTTTCAGCCAGCTGCTTGATACTGAAAACTACACAGAGCTTAAATTTCTGTCTATGGTTATTATGGATAATAGTGTTACCCAATGCAGAGATTTTCCCCACTGCATTATATATAATCTATGCCTATTGGCACATCGAAAGAGTGTGTGAGTGTAACATATCTGATCTATGGGACTTTGTGTAGTGATGGTTCGTATGTGGTGTCGATCAGTTAGCCCTCCTGATCCTGTCAGCGAGGTAGACCCTCCCACCACGCCTTCTTAAATCAAGCCAGTGTAGCACTGAACTCACTACTATTGCGCTTTGGCCGATTATTTGCGCATGGTGGCAGAAAATGTGGTAACAGACAAGGTGGTGGGCCCCTCCCTATTCCCCAGCAGCCAGTAGATCACCATGTCCCGGCAGCAGCTCTGTGGGTTACTCTGGCCGTGCTGAGCCTCAATGAGTGATAGCTGGGACCCCATGTCGTCAAAGTTGAGGTGGACACCAAATGACTTCCGGTCTAGGGCCAGGGACTTGATGATCTCAGAATTTCAGATATCCCTATTGCTAACCTTGACTGCACTTCATTATAGTTTCCCACCTAGAATACTTGTGCCACCTTCCAATGGTGTGGGTCTTAGGGTGCAATAGGACTGTAGCACCCGCACACTATTATGTAGATTACTTGTTACTCATTTACGTAATCTTACCTTGTAGTTCCTATAAAAAGTGTATGCACGTGGAAAATAATCATATTATTTGAGACTTAGCCAGAGTCACTGACAGAGATGAGTGTTACCACGCGCAAGGCTGGTCGTGCCACAGGACATTCGTTGTACACCTGCACAATAACTACCTGGAATGTTCCCATGTGTAAATAAGTAACTGGCAGAGACCTAACATCGATATCCTTCCTCTTCCTCTACTCTCAGAATCCTCTACCGTCTATAGCTACCAAGGATATTAGTTTTAACTCGTTTCTGAATTACTCTTTAAGCATGTTTGGCACCTTGTTTTTGTTTGGGGGGACAAGAAAGGCTGTACTCACTCAGAGGTTTACCTGAGTGCATAATTACTGTTTCCACTTCCCACAATGGGATTTAAATATTCAGAAGGGGTATACAAGATCTTCCAACAAAATACATTTCCCCAGAGACCGTTTAGACTCATTAACTGTCTAGATAGAACGGCAGTACCAGCTAACACAGCTAAACATAGATAAAACAGCCTTGGTTGTCATTTATAATGAAGTGTTCAACAGAGGTTTATCCAAACGACTAGCTATCATACTTAGCTTGCCATTTCAAACAACAAAGTCAAAGACAACAAAAAACGACAAAAAAGAACAGCATCAAACAAGCACACACAACAACAAGCAGCACACACCAACAAGCAACAAACTGATGGCAGCGGTAGCTACATTTAGTCCGCGGTAATGCCAACGTGATCCCAGCAGAGGATCCAGCTGACGATAGTGTCGACTGTTGTAATATTGATTTCCACCATCTTGTATGCATGAAGGTACACCTGACTCTTTTAGGCCACCAAAGAAGCATGTCAAATAGCATGCATATTCGAATAGAAGGTGAGGATTTCCTGTGGCATGACAGACAGTTTATCTTTAGACGAAGAGAGAGAGCTGGTAGTGAGACAATTCAATAGATGATTGTGGCTCTCCCTCCGCTTCGCCTAGGGTTTCTAGCTCACTAATATCTTTCCACTCGTCGTAAGAGCTGGAATAACAAACATACTAGACTAGATTCACTAGACTGACGCTTCTTTCCGTGACGGTCACGGGGTAAAGCTTGTTTGTGGCCGCCTTACGTGGCCTCATTGTAGCCCCGTATGCGGTAATCCAGGCGCCTCTTTTTCATACGGCCCTCACTATCCATATCGCGAGCCAAAGCACACACAGGTCAAGAGTAGCACAGCACAAAAACAAGAACCTGCACCCAGGAGGAGAGAGCTAGCTAGAGGACAATTTCAAATTTTCTACTGTGATCATCTAATTCCACTCCACGGGTCACTTCGGAATACTCACCTTCGTTTCACGACGGTAGTTCAGGTAGATCTTCGTCAACTGTCGCCACAACGTTCCATAACTACTGTAAGTATTAGGGAGTAACGTCTGTCCCCGCGGAAGTTACTAAAGCGCGGGCGCAAATCCAGCTGTTCGCATGCGCCTATGTACACTACTATACATGCTTCGTCATTTAGTTGATCATTCAGCGCCATACAAGTCCAATAACGTTATTGTTTGGTCCATCGAAGGTGTAGCTCTTGCTTCCAGGGCCAGAAAGTGCCGTCTGGTTCACTCCCGACCCACAGCGGGCGCTCAAACACACCCGCGCAAAACGCGACGCCATTTTTGAGCTGGGGGCGAGTCCGTGCGCGGAGCTTCCTTTCCGGTCAATGTTTATAATTATGTCTCGGCTTCCGTAATTTGCTATACGCCCAACAAATACAGTATAGCTAGCTATACAGGCGATGAGAGCGCAGTGATGGTGTTTTTTGAACGAATCGTTCCTGGACTTGTGGCGGTGGTGGTACTGTTGATCAGTCATGCAGGCTGTGTCCAGGACCAAGCTCCAGGAGATGGTGTAGCGTTATGTACTGATGGGATCGTTAATGGGATGCCGAATCCGTTCTTTGCAAACCGCCCAATGTACTCTGTCAATGAACTACCTCTCATGGACTCCAGAGACTATAACCGCCTGCTTCAGGAAAGTGGCGACGCGTATGTACCGTGGCAAAGCCTGGATAGGGACAATAACAATACTAACGATCAGGTAACTGAGGTAAGGGACCCATGGACAATACTCAACATTATTTATTGTAGTCTAATTGCTCTCCAGTGGACTCAAACTGGATCAGCCACATGTGCTGGGACAGTGACAGTGTGTGGATTCAGTGGAGGGAGCTCAAGAGAACTGGCTCATCACACAGCACATCAACACAGTGCTACCAGGAGGAGGAGGAGAGAGACTGAGGAAAGTGACTGTTCAGTTTGAGGGAACTCTCAATGGATGTGATATCAGTAGACAGTGCAGGCAGAGTTTTGAACTATACAAGTGGGAGACTTCAGCCATCGACAGAAATGGAGCAACTAACACCAACAATTATGTCAGAGTTGGTCGAGTCTCTCCTGCTGTTACTAGTGGAGTCATGTCCTTTGTTGACTCTCATGATATAGAATTGGGTACCACAAGTGGTTTTTACTTGGGAGTTGTTGACTTTGAGCACTTGTGTTACTCTCACAAGAATTCTAGTTCTCTACTATGTGTGTCCCAGAGGAGACATCAGAACTCATCTCCAGACCTGAGGCAATTGAATCCCAGTCTCTGGAAGGCTCACCTTCAGTGGAGGGAGAGTGTGTAGAGAACAGTTCCACAGAGTCTGGGGCTAATCCTATTCTCATATGTGGTGCTAGGGGACAGTGGCAGGTGATAAAACCTTGTCTCTGTAATCCTGGATATCAGCTGGATCTTAGTCAAGACCAGTGCTCAGGTATGTCACATTGGTGGTTAACTTTTACATTGTTGAATGTAATGTTCTTTTACAGAGTGTCCAGAAGGAACCTTCTCATCAGGACTGGGTAATGGACCATGTGAGACATGTGCAGCTAACAGTGAGGGGACTGGAACTGCTCTGAGCCTCTGTCCATGTCTCCAGGACTACTACACAGCTCCTTATGAGGGGCCATCCGTCCCCTGTACACGTAAGACATGAATTAGAATTCAGTTTATATAACTTAATATTGAGAACCAGTGCATTTACATAAAAACCAGACTGTTAGGGGCTGGAAAATGTTTACCTACTAGAAATAAGATGAAGTCAACATTGTGGTGTAATCTGTTTACAAACTGTATACACCTAGCTATGCAGGACATCCATCTGATCAATAACATGTCTTCTATATACCCTTCTGCCCTTTTCCCTAAAATATATCAAACTCCGCCATCTTCATAATTAACCCTCGGCCCGCATGCGCATCGAAGGTTACAGTAGTTGGTTTGTGTGTGTGTGTCTGTCTGTCTGTCTGTCTGTGTATCAAATGCTACGAGGCGGCCTATTAGCGATACTAACGGCTTCATAACTACGTGAGCCTGAAGAATAAAAGGGCGATTTTCCTGAAACGACTTCATTTGAGAGATATGCCGTGAAAACAAGCGAAAAAGCCAATATGCATAATCGCATATATACCGCGACCAGATCCGCTCGCTCGGTGTATATACCTCTGGGGCTCAGGAAGTCACAATGAATGACATGTATATATCCACTCCCGTATGCTATCTACTACTGTGTCAGACTCTCCGCGAGCTGTTAGCAGGAGACCATGAGTACAAATAGCCCAGTATCGCACATGCACAGTTCACCCAGGGTTTGCACTTAGTGCTTTTCATTATACTAAGTACTGCTGCTGTTCTTTTGATACAAAATCGTACTTATCCTCGTATTTATTAGCAAGGTTCGGGGGCGGGGCGGGGCTGTTAGTTGATTGTTTAGGTAATTATTGCAAGTCTGAATGAATACAACATGCCGTATTAGGCATCTGTCTGTATCTCACATGCAGAGTCTCCAGGACCTCCATCTGATCTCAGAGTGTCAAATGTGACCAACACATCAGCCGTTCTCTCCTGGTCTGCTCCTGATAATGGTGGAGGAAGACCTCTCTATGAGATAGTCTTCACCATCACTGCCACCGGTATGTTTAATTTTTGGCATTGCATGGCGATACAATGGTAGCAAGATCTCTAATGACAAGGCAGTGTGTGCCTGTTCTGTAAGAATGGTATTGTTTGAACCTTGCCAGTTTAACTGCCCTGGTACTTAAGGTTAGAGCACTCTGCCTAGGCTCTGGGTTTGACGCCCACCCTTTTTTCCTGGAAAAGTTCGCTGAATATTATTTCTTTTTTTTCCTTTCGTACTTCATTTATTATTCGTACCTAGACAGAGGAGGAAGTGGAGGAGAGAGAGTGGTGGTGAGTGAGGTGAATGATACAGAGACCATTGTGACTGGACTGACTCCTGGTGTAATCTACACATTCTCTGTATCTGCTGAGAATGATGTCTCCTCTCAGGACAACAATATCAATGCCAGGAGTCTCAGTACCACTGCCAACACTCTGGAAGGAGGTCTGTATTATTGTGAGCCACGTTGGGGGAGGAAGTGTCTAAAAGCTTTCCTACGCATATTGCACGTCTAGGATTATCCTTGGGAAACCATTTAATACTACAGTTATTATCATAATCTGTACGATAATGGCTGAACCACTAAGGTTGAAAACTGTTTTGAATTGCCACTCATACTTGTCATACTCCTTGCTCTAATTATTGTGCAGTACTTATGCTGTTATGCATTCTTCGTTCCGTGTGTTAGCGTTTCTGTTGGTTGTTTTTCCCAAGCTACCAAGTGTATGTTATATGGTGTGCTTTTGTGTGCAGTAAGATGCCAAAGCTATATAAGGCTGCATTCTCTACCTCCCTTGGATTGTTTTTGTGAATGAATAAACACATTTACTGTCTACACACCCCATGCAGTTGGAGGGACAGTGACAGAGTTTGTGGTGGGAGAGAATGGAGTGCT